TCGTTACCACAGTCTCCAAGAGAGAAGAGCCTCCTACCCTGGGCACACTCTATCTAGAACTTCATTCTCATCTCATCTACTTTGGATAAGATGTTCTAGACTCTTGGATCTAAAGTGGAGATTTTTTATAGGTGAGTGGGTGCATGGGCGGATGGATAAGCAGCAGGAAAAGAAAGCGAACAGGTGGATGAAAATGGGTGGCTGAGTGCTCACTGGATGGATGGATGGGTACATGGGTGGGTGGGGGATAGATGGATGGATGGATGGATGAGTGGACAGATGGAAAAATGGATGGATGTGTGGATATATGTATAGACAGATGGAGAAATGGATGGATGTAGGGTGGATGGGAAAAGAGGACAGGAACGGAGAGTGGCCATGCTGTGAATGGTGGACCCAATTCACAGCTGAGGACTAGTCAAACAGCTGAGGACCTCTGAGCTGGAAGCTAGGGTGCCTACATTGTCCACAATTCTGAGGAACTTCTGGGTTACTGGGTCCTTGAATAGCTACCACCTGACCATTTTCTGATGAGATGGAGATGTACACACACCCACATGACAGCAGGTCCCGGGAAGGTGGCCTGGATCAGAGAACAATGCAAGGTGCTGCCCATGGGTCCTTCTCATCTGTTAGGATTTGAAGATGCAAAGTCTTTGAACACTTGGTCCCTAGCTGGTGGCACTGATTTGGGAGGGTGTGGAGCCCATGGAAGAGGGAGCCTTGCTAGAGCAAGTGGGTAGGTTGGGAAGTGAGCCCAGAGGGCGGTAAACCCACCCTGCCTCCAGCCCCACTCCCAGTCTCTGTTTATTTCCTGGTCCAAGAAGGGAGCATGCAGCATGTCTTCCCCACCACGATGGCTATACCCTCAAACAGAGAGCCGAAAGAAAGCCTTCCTGCTTGGGCTGCTTCTGTCCATCCCAGCGACCACAAAAGTAACTGACACACGACCCCACGGGTCCCTTTTTCACCCACCAGCTCTCAGGTCAGAGCAACAACCTTCCAGGTTTGTTTGGTTGTAGTGGTGTGCCTGCCTCAAGAGAGTGGTCGGTGGTGAGGGAGAGATGTTGTGACTAGTCCACCCTCTGCTGCCTTGACCAGTTAAGGAAGGTGCCCAGCCAAGGGTCTTCGCATGTAGTGCCCAGATCCTACCACCAGGTGGCAGTAGAGCTGAATCTTCCAAATTAGGACTTTTTATTTTATTTTTTTTTTAATTACAAGGAAGCAATAAATGTTGCTTTCTGAGAAAATAAGACCCTACAGGGGGATTCATAAATCACTGCCTTTACTATATAAAACCCCAACTAACCTGGTCTACCTGTCTCTACCAGGTCAGGTAGGCTGCCTGCTGTTGCTGTGGTTTCTTTGCCCAGGACCTTGAACCCAAAACTGTCTCCAGCTTATTTAACTTCAGGGTGTTTTCCTCTTGGATAACTGAGGTAGTTGCACCCCATAAGAGGCTTATAAGACTTTCACGACGTGACATCATTGCATAAAGGACTTCAACTGTGCCTGGTCTACAGGTCAGCCCTCAATAAATGGCAAGGGCGCGTGCCCAAGGCTGGGTACCCAAATATGAATGGCAGAGCTCAGCAGGCCAAGAATGGAAAATAGTTAGTTCAGTGCACCTCCACGCTTCCCTGCTCCTGCCACTTCGAGGCGTCTCTGAGTCTCTGTAAGAAGGACAGTTGGGCAGACACTTGCCTTCGGTCTTCATCTGGGGCATCTATTTCTCATGTGTCATCATGCTGTGTGGCTCTGCTGATCCTGTCTTGGGTCCACCCCATCCTGCCTTCACGTTAGGCTTCCTGTTAACCTTTACTCTACCTATCAGGGAGAGTCACCCCACTGTTAGCTGCCTTCCTGCAGATCAGGCAATAGACAGTCTCCCCGACTCCAGCTGACTTAGACCACCATCACGGCCGAGCTTCTCGCGGCTCTCTCCCATCAGGCTTCAGTCAGAATCCCAGCTCCAAGGTCTATCGGGATCTCAAAAGATCCATGGATCGAGTACGAGCAGCGCCTGGTGAGTTCGCAGTCTGCTTTACCACGCTACAGCAGCAGTTCTTCAAGAAATATCCCAGGAGAGTGAAGGATCTGATCCTGTTGGTCAAGCACTGGTATCACCAGGTAATTTACGCCATTGCCTTGTTTTAAAGAGGGTCTCAGGCTGGCCTGGAACTCACTACATAGACCAGGCTGGTCTCAAATTCACAGGCTGCCTCTGCCTCCCAAGCGCTGGGACCACAGCCACGTGGCACTACACTCCACTGTATGACCCTTTGAGATCATTCCCAGTAAGCAAACTCCAACAATATTAACAACATACTTCAATCTAATTTGATCTCCTCTTCAGCCACAAACCAAAACAGAGCATTTTCTCAACTCAGGGGCATGGTGGTTGCACCACTGTGGCCCCAGCACTCAAGAAGTGGAGGCAAGAGGATCTAGAGTTTAAGCATGACCCTTAAAAAATATCCTGAGGATGATGAGATGGCTCAGTGGTTAAGAGCACATATTGCTTTTCCAGAGGACCCGAAGTTCGATTCCCAGCACTCACATCAGGCATCCCACAATCAGCTTTAACTCTAACTCCAGGGGGATCTAACACCTCTACCTACACCTACACACACATAATTAAAAAATATTAAGGAGTTGGAGAGATGGCTCCATGGTTAAGAGCACTGTCTACTATTCTAGAGGACCTGGGTTCGATTCCCAGCACCCACATGGCAGCTCACAACCATCCGTCACTTCAGTCCTAGGGGATCCAGTACACTCCTTTGGCCACCGTAGACACCAGGCATGCACATGGTACAGACAAACATGCAAACACAACACCCATATATATAAGCAATAAAACTTTATGAATACATTATTTTTTTAATTCCAATAACCATCACCACTAATGAATTTTATTTAAAAGAATGTGACATGTATACACATGTGTGTGTGCATGAGTGCTCATGCACATGTATACAAGAGTGTGTGTGTGCGTGTGTATGTGAATGTGATGTATTGCATGTGTGGCGGTCAGAGGACAATGTACAGGAGTGAGTTTTCTCCTTCCACCATGTGGGTCTGGGGGATCGAACTCAGTTCAACAGGTTTTGTGGCAGGCACCTCTCCTCACTGAGCCCTCTTGTCAGCCCTCCCTTTAATTTCGAACACTGTCAATGGGCCATATAGCACACAGGTGGTATCTCCCTCATTTCACTCCATGTTCAAGAAATCCAGCCACATCATTACATAGCAATAGTTCTTCATTCCCTTGTACTATTCTGTTGTAGTAACATACCCATTTTCCTCTCTGCTGCTGGTGGGGCCGTGGGTCATTCCCAGGTTGTAGCCTCTGTGAACTGGGTAACTGTGGGTGTCCTCTGACATGTCTTTTGTGAACTTAAGCACTCATTTTTCTTGGGTAAATATGCAGTAGAATTGCTGGGGTCTCAGACACAGCCCCAGACAGCATGTATATACATGTCTATATTTGCATAAGTGGACTCTATATGAAATATAGTGGAGAGTGTTTATTTAGCTTTAATGAAGGGTGCCAAATGGATTTTTCAAAACCAGTGTCCCGGGGCTGGAGAAAAGGCTCAGTGAGGGAAGTACATGCTGTGCAAGCATGGAAGATTCCCCAGAGCCCATGTAAAGCCAGGAGTGGCAGCCTGTGGCTGTAACTCCATGTTCAGGAGGCAGACACAGGCCGATCCCCTGGGCTGCTGGCCAGACGCTGCAGCCAATCAGTGAGCCCCAGGTTCAGCGAGGGGGCCCTGTTCCAAAAAAAATAAGGTATAGAGTGACTGAGGGAGATATGTGACCTTGACCTCTGGCTTACTCACACACACATTCACGAACACAGCTCACACTCACATACATGTATACACTTATACATTCACAAACTGACACACACACCTTCACACTCACAAACACACACTCACACTGATACAACCACACACACTTCTGCACTCACTCACACACATGCACATTCACACTGACACACCCACATGCCCCCACACTCACATACACAATCACATGTGCTCACACTCACCCATCTACACACACTCGCGCACATGCACACACACACACACACACACAGCACATATACGCATATACACACACAGCCATGCTCGCACACCGTGTCACACAGTCACATACTCGCACACACTCACACCCCTGAGAGCAGTGTGAGTGTTCCAGGTGTTCCTTCCACACCTTCATCAGTATCTGATGGTACCGACACCTTGACTTGCCGGCACAGGCTCCGGCTTCCTGACGGCCTTGTCTTCTCTCACAGTGCGAGGAGAAGTGGATGACTTCCCTGTCTCTGCAGTTGTTGTATGCACTGGAGCTGCTCACTGTGTATGCCTGGGAACAGAGCTGCCAAGGTGAAAACTTCGACATAGCAGAAGGTGCAAGGACCGTGCTGGGACTCATCAGGCAGTCGTCACAGCTGTGCGTCTACTGGATAGACAACTACAACTTTGAGGATGAGACGGTCCGCAACACCCTTCTATGCCAGCTCAGGTCCCAAAGGTACCCACCCAGCTTCCAGATCTCTGCAGCTGTACGCCAGAGCCCCCACTGAAAGCGAGTTCTAAGTCCTTGCTGTTTACGGACAGCTGGGGTTGCGGGGAGGACCTGAGTGTCTATCTGCAAAGGAGATTCAGTCAGTGCGTTCCGTGCTCCAAACCATGGTCAGGCTTTGTCCCCCAAAGCCTGGAGGAAGGGGCTGGGGGAAGGGGAAGGAATTCACAGCGAACAACAGTGAGATCTAATTTCTCTGAGAAGAGGAGGATGAGGAGTTAGTGTGGCTGGGTACCACAAAGCCCTCTTCAGCCTCCCCCTTCTGTGAGTGTGCGCATACACATGCATGTGCACAGATGCAATGTGCAAGCCAGAATGAGACATCAGGTGTCTCATTCTCTGCTTTGTTTTTTGAAGATTTATTTTATGTGTATAGATGTTTTCCCACGTGTATGTCTGTGAACCACATGCATGCAATGCCTATGAAGGCCAGGAGAGGGTGTCAGACCTGGGACTATAAAGATGGCTGTGAGCCACTATGTGGGCTCTGGGACTTGAACTCAGGTCCTCTGCAAGAGCAGCCAGTGATCTAAACCTCTGAGGGGTCTCTCCAGCCCTTCTGCCTCATTTTTAGTCTCTCACTAATGTTCACCAGTAGGCTAGACTGGCCGGCCAGTGAGCCCCAGGACCCAGACTCTGTCTCCTCAGGACTGGGATTACAGACACATCAGCGTCTGGTTTTTCTATGAGTCTTGGGGGTGCCCAACTCAGGGCCTGTTTGTGAGGCAGGCACTGACCCATTCCCCAGCCTGACTTCTTTTTTATTAAAATGTGTGAGTCTGTGTGAGTGCGGACGAGCACACGCATCTGTGTGGGTGTGCATCTCTTTGCACATAGAGGCCAGAAGAAGAGATAGGTGTCTCCCATCTATTCCTCTGAGGCAGGGTCTCTCTTCTCCAATCTGGGCTCCAGCTTTCTCAACTAGGCTGGAAGCTAGCAAGGCCCAGACATCCTGCCACCTCTACCCATTTCAGTGCTGGGGTTGAAGTCCTGTTCAAGACACCCATGTTGTTACATGGGTCCCGAACTCTGGTCCTTAAGACTAAGCAACTCTTAGTCACCAAGCTATCTTCCCATGTCCTGCTTTTTGGGGGGAGGGCAGGGAGACAGGGTCTTACTGTATGGCCCTGGCTGGCCTGGAACTCACTATGTAGACCAGGCTGGACTTGAACTCAGAGTTCCTCCTGCTTCTGCCTCCCAATATTGGCATTAAAGATGTATGTTACTAAGCCCAGCCCTGATTTCTTTTAAATTCTGATAAAATTCCTAGACCGGTCATCTTGGATCCAACTGATCCAACCAATAACGTGGGCAAAGACGATGGGTCCTGGCAGATGCTGACAGAGGCGGCTCAGGCCTGGCTGTACTCTCCCAGCCTGAATAATGTGTCACCTGCACCGCATTGGAATGTTCTGGTAAGAGGGTTTCCACGATGGAGGGAGTGTCCTCCTGACCCTGATCTCAGAGAGTGTGTCTTGGCTGCCTATGCCCAACTACTGTAACATGGTCACTCACTCAGTGTGGCTTAAAGCAACAGAAATTTATTTCCCCGCTGTTCTGGATGCTGGAGGTTCAAAGACAAGGAATGGGGGAGGGGTGGGCTCTCCCAGGGACAGCACTGATACCTGGCTTGGTTTGTGACATCATCACCCTCCATTGTCACATGTCTACCCTGTCTTTGTGCTTTTTCCTTGATGTGGGTCTGTCTGGGGACCCCACTCCTCTAAGAACAATAGTCATATTGATTTGGGGTCCACCCTAGTGACCCTCCTCCTAACTCAATGGCTTCTCAAACAGCCCCACTTCCTATTAGGCTGTGGTCATGGGTACTACAGGTCCAAACCCCAATATATTTTAGGGGGACACAACTCAACCAACTCCTAAGGGCCACAAAGATGACTATGAGGTAGGAAAGGGGGAAATAGAGAAAGCAGGTTCCTGGAGAAAAGAGATAAATTCCTTTCTGCAAGTGTGAAATCAGGAGGAGGGGAGGAGGTAGGGGTGGGGGGACAGAGACAAGGAGCTGAGCCTCCTAGAAGTATACAGAACTCATGTCTGTGACACTCAAGCAGACCCTGAAGTCCAACCCATGGGGGCAGGACCAGCAGTGACGCAGACACAATCTGCCTCTCGGCTAAGGGCATCAAGCACATTCCTAAGTGAGACCAGCTGAGTCTGTTCAAAGGCCGCCTTGTTGGCCTTTGAAGTGGGACAAACGTGTCAGTCGAACCCCACGTCCACAGATGAAGGGCAAGCTTATATCCAAAGTGTGGGAGGCAGAGGCCACATCCCATCTGCAGAGGTATCAGATGCTAAGATCTAAGAAACTGGGGTGGGCAGAAGGATGCAGAGTCTGTGAATGGGGTCACTCCCCAGGTAGATGCCAAGGACTCGGCAACTGCTCCCAAGTCCCCAACCCCAAGCTCCATTTTTACCTTAGCCTGGTCTTTTACTTTCTTGTGACCACCTGCCTGGCTTCCTAAGGTCAGGCAGGGATGATCTCTTCCCACCAACTCCTAGTTTTCAAATATCTAATGCTGCAAAAAGGGATGGATAACACCTGTGCAAGCTTCATAGATAGAAACTCTGGCACTTGCCATCGTTGGCTGGGTGACATCAGCACACGCACACACTCAGCCTCATCACTATGATGGTGGCTGCACGTCACCAGAGTCACTTGAGAGGCCTTCACCCCCACAACCACCAGTGTAGCTAGAGTTTGCCCACAGTCAGGACAAATCTTTGTCACCCGCCAGTCCCAAAGCCACTCAGAACCAACCAAGTAAACACAGAGACTTATATTGCTTACAAACTGTATGGCCGTGGCAGGCTTCTTGCTAACTGTTCTTATAGCTTAAATTAATCCATTTCTACAAATCTATACCCTGCCACGCGGCTCATGGCTTATTGGCATCTTCACATGCTACTTGTCCTGGCGGCGGCTGGCAGTGACTCCTTCTGCCTTCCTGTTCTTTCTTTTCTCCTCTGTTAGTCCCGCCTATACTTCCTGCCTAGCCACTGACCAATCAGTGTTTTATTTATTGACCAATCAGAGCAACAGATTTGACATACAGACCATCCCCCAGCACACCAGGCTATGGTCAAAGGTAAATTTAAGTTCATAGTGCTGTCAAAATGTAAGACACACACATACACACATACCATCTTCGTGTTCTGACAGCCATCCCAAGCAACCCATAGATTCCCCCTTTCCAACACACAGGTACATGATTATGTTCAGCTCTCATGTCTCTCCTGCCCCACCTTTTAAAAATATTTTTTATATTATGTATATGAGTATTTGCCCGAACGTATGTTATGTCATATGTGTGCAATACCCACAGAAGCCAAAAGAGGGTATCAGGCCTCTTAGGACTGGAATCACAGACCTGTGTGAGCCACCACCTGGGTGCTGGGAATCAAACCTGGACCCTCTGACAGAACAGACAGTGCACTTAACCCGATGAGCCGTCTCCCTAGACATCTTTTTTTTTTTTTGAGGGGGGGGGGAAGGTTTTCGAGACAGGATTTCTCTGTGTAGTTTTGGTGCCTGTCCTGGATCTCACTCTGTAGACCAGGCTGGCCTCAACCTCACAGAGATCCGCCTGGCTCTGCCTCCCGAGTGCTGGGATTAAAGGCGTGCGCCACCGCCACCTGGCTCTAGTCATCTTTTGATCCCTGTGCTGCTGTCTCACTAGCCTGTCCTTCCGGACACGACATTATCCCACTTTCAACAGCTACTTCTGTCCAGGCCCAGGAACCGAGACACAAGCAGGAATGAACATTTCAGGCTTATGCACATACATGCACACACTCACGTGTAAACATGCGCACTCACCTATGAACACTCGTCTCTGCACCCGGAGCCTCACGCTCTCACAGGTGCCTGCACAATGCTGACACTTGTGAGAGCACATGGGCACTCACAGCTGCATACACTCACATCTGCACGCACACTCATGTGCATACACCATGAACATGCACACACACGAACAGGACACTCACACTCTCAAATATATTCATATATACCCTCGTGCGCGCACACGTGTGTGCACTCCCATGCGTACACTTGCATACGAAACACACACATGCACATGACGCATGTACACTCATGTGCGCATGCCCACCCTGTATGCCATCTGAGTGGAAGGATTGAGGATGCTGCTTCTCACATCTGGATGCCAGGCCACAACATCGAGGAGCACCGAGATCAGCTGGACTGCAGAGCTAAGCTCCGCCTCTTGTCCCCAGGCAGCTGGGCCGCTCTCTGCCGAAGCTCTCCAGGAAACGTGTACCCTAAATTTAGAATCTTATTGTTACAGCAGTGGGCGATGCGAACGCAGACTCGTGGAGCTGGAACTTGAGGGCTCGTTCCCTTTCCAAGCTTCGTGAGGCTGCCCATGTGTCCTGGCTCCTTCACCCATCTTCAGAGCCATTGCCCCAACACCCTCCAGCCCCCTCCTCTCTGCTCCTGAGCTCACATCTCCTTGTTCAACTTTGACCCTGACACCTGCCTCTTGGAAGGTCCTTAGGGATCTTCTCATGCTGGCCCAGGGCACCTCCCATGTCTGCAAAACCCACAAACCCCTCAGAAGGATCCAGATCTCTCTCACGTAGCCCATGAGGAACCAGGAGAGTTTCTGCTCGGTGAGGGGAGTGTGTTGGGGGGGTAGGTATTGCCTGACATCTCAAGAACATTCTTAGGGTATATCTGTGCAAGACAGGAAGGTCTCTGACAGGAAGGTCTCTGCCCATGGTTGGGAGCAGGTTGGCAGAAGGACAGAGGTGAGTTTTGTGGTGGCTTCTGGGCAGAGCCCATGAAAGTTCTCTCCTCTCCAGCCCACATCACTGTTCATCACCCCAAGCCACTTACTGAACAAGTTCATCGAACACTTCCTCCAGCCCGATAAAGATTTCTTGGACCAGATCAAAAGAGCTGTTCACACCATCTGTAAATTCCTTAAAGAAAATTGCTTCCAGGACCAAAGCACCAAAGTTCTAAAGACCGTCAAGGTGAGTGCTGGCCCTTCGATGGTTCCAGCTCTTGGGAGCCAGGGAGACAAGGGTGAGGGGAAACATCTTCCCTCACCTTCTCTTTCTTCCCTAGGGAGGATCCACTGCCAAAGGCACAGCTCTGAAATCTGGATCGGATGCCGACATCGTTGTGTTCCTCAGCTCACTGAAGAGCTATGACTCCCAACAAAACGAGCGCTCGATGTTAGTCCGGGAGATCCACAGGCAATTAGAAGATTTCCAGAAGACGCAGGAGCTGGAAGTGAAGTTTGAGATTTCAAAGTGGGAGTTCCCCAGGGTGCTAAGCTTTACCTTGAAATCCAGGAGTCTCAATGAAAGTGTCGACTTTGATGTCCTGCCTGCCTATGATGCACTAGGTAAGAGGCCCCAGACCCTAGTTGAGGAAAAATGGTGGGGGGTGGGGGTGGGTAATGGGCTGTAATTGTCTCCCAGTTCTAGCCCAGGCCCCCAGACACCTACATGCAATTCCATTCTCGTGTAAACACCCCAGGCAGCCTCCAGGAGCCGTCGGCTCTGTTCTCCATGGTGTGTCAAGGATGGCACATATAGTTATATACATATCACAGATAACATCCCTTCATTTCCTCTGTGGAGGAGGAAATTAAAGAACAGAATTGGGGGGGCGCTTTGTGAGATAAGAGACAGGAAATTAGGTGTGGAAAACTCCTCCTCAGCAATCCCATTTATAGGTGAGAGATACAGAAATACAGATGAATGAAAAGCCTCGAAGTAGGCTGAGGAGATGGCTCCATGATAAGAGTGTTTGCCATTCAGTCATGGGGACCTGAGTTTTATCCCCAGCACCTGGGTAAAAGGCCAGGCTCTATTGCAGGCATACCTGTCACCCCAGTGCTGCCTGGAGAGGGGTTGGGGTAGAAAGAGTGATGGTTCTAGCTGAATCAGATAGGTTCAGTGGGGGACCATGTCTTGATGGGATAAGGTGAAGGACGAGGCTCAGTGGGGGACCCTGTTTTGATGGGATAAGGTGAGGACGAGGTTCAGTGAGAGACCCTGTCTTGATGGGATAAGGTGAAGGATGAGGTTCAGTGGGAGACCCTGTTTTGATGGGATAAGGTGAGGACAAGGTTCAGTGGGAGACCCTGTCTTGACGGGATAAGGTGAAGGACGAGGTTCAGTGGGAGACCCTGTCTTGATGGGATAAGGTGAAGGACGAAGTTCAGTGGGGGACCCTGTTTTGACGGGATAAGGTGAAGGACGAGGTTCAGTGGGGGACCCTGTCTTGACGGGATAAAGTGAAGGACGAGGTTCAGTGAGAGACCCTGTCTTGATGGGATAAGGTGAAGGATGAGGTTCAGTGGGAGACCCTGTCTTGATGGGATAAGGTGAAGGATGAGGTTCAGTGGGAGGCCCTGTCATGACAGAATAAGGTGAAGAATGATACAGCAAGACACCCAGCTTCCTCCTCTGGCTTCTCCTGGGTGGACACATCCAGGCACATGTGCCCACATTCACACAGCAACTCAGAGGAAGCAAGGGTTTGTGTGGTTTACACTTCTAGATCTCAGTCCATCAGGGAGGGCCATCATGGGGAGAAGTCAGGGCAGAAACTCAAGGTAGGAACTTGGAGCAGAAACCATGGGGGAATGCTGCTTGCTGCCTCGCTCATAAGCTTATGCTTAGCCAGCTTTCTTATTCAGGACCACATGTCAAGGAAATGGTGCCACTCACAATGGGCTGGCCCTCCTGCATCAATAACAACTTCCCAGATTGACTCTAGGCTGTTTCATGCTCTCTCTCTCTCTCTCTCTCTCTCTCTCTCTCTCTCTCTCTCTCTCTCACACACACACACACACACACACACACACACACACACACACTCACTTATGCACATACAGAGGCCAAGTTACTACGTGTGTGTGTGTGTCCTATATTAGAATTATGAAGATTCTAGTATCTTCCACCTGAGTAGTTCTTGGGGACCAGGTGTAATCAGGGATAAAACATTTGCTTAGCATCTACAAGTCTCTTCATTCAATTTACCACCACAAGGTAATTATTTGGGACTGGGGCTGGAGCTCAGTCAGTGACAGAGTACTTGCCTAGCATGCTCAAGACCCTGGGTTTGGCACACACACACACACACACACACACACACACACACACACACACACACACACACTGCAAACAAAACCAGCTTGCTGTGGGATGGTCTGTATGTCAAATTGCTCTGATTGGTCAATAAATAAAACACTGATTGGCCAGTGGCTAGGCAGGAAGTATAGGCGGGACTAACAGAGAGGAGAAAATAAAGAACAGGAAGGCAGAAGGAGTCACTGCCAGCCGCCGCCATGACAAGCAGCATGTGAAGATGCCGGTAAGCCATGAGCCACATGGCAAGGTATAGATTTATAGAAATGGATTAATTTAAGCTATAAGAACAGTTAGCAAGAAGCCTGCCTCTGCCATACAGTTTGTAAGCAATATAAGTCTCTGTGTTTACTTGGTTGGGTCTGAGCGGCTGTGGGACTGGCGGGTGACGGAGATTTGTCCTGACTGTGGGCAAGGCAGGAAAACTCTAGTTACACCAGCTGCCAGCTGCTTTAATTTCTCTCAGAAAAAGAGACAGGAGTATATAGAATGGGGTTCAGGCCACTTTTGTTTGTCTGTTTGCTTTTGAAAGGGCAGCTGTTCTAGTTTGTCTTTTGTTGATGTGATAAAACACTGACCAAGCTGAGTGGTGGTGGCCCACACCTTTAATTCCAGCACTCGGGAGGCAGAGGCAGGTGGAAATCTGTGAGTTCGAGGCCAGCCTGGTCTACAGAGTGAGTTTCAGGACAGCCAGGGCTACACAGAGAAACCCTGTCTCAAAAAACCAAAAGGGGGGGGTGGACTAAAGATACCTCAGTAACAGCAGTGTGCAAGCCTGAGCTCAGAACTGACAGGGAAGTCTTTCTCTCCAACAGTGAGAAACATCTAGACCTGTGTTCTGAATCCACCGAGAGTTTGAAATGTGGCTAGAGCCACCAAAGAGCTGAATTTTCATCTCATTTCCTTTCGTACTTACATGGTTCACACATGTAAGTGTGAGTGACTGTGGGGGCCAGAAGAGGGGACCAGGTCCCCTGGAGCTGGAATTACAGGGTGTAAGCCACCAGACTCTAGTGCTGGGGACCAAACTTGGGTCCCCTGAAAGAGCAGAAAGCCTCCCTTAGTCAATGAACCCATTCTATGTTTTTTGACAAATGTAGTTTCATTCTGCGGGGAGTTTCCTTTGAGCCATGGATACATATTTGAATTACTGATGAGTATCCAAGATGCAGACAGTAGTGACCTCATGGTCTGGCAGGCACAGGTGATTTTTACAGTAACACACACACCTTTAAATGCAGCACTCAGGAGGCAGAGGCAGGCCGATCTCTGTGAGCTCGAGGCCAGCCTGGTCTACAGAGTGAGATCTACAACAGCCAGGGCTACAGAGAAACCCTGTCTTGAAAAACCAAATAAATGAGTAAATAATAAATTTTAAAAAATACCACAGTTTTGAGGTCTGTGGATATAGATTCATTGGTAGAGAGTTTGTCTACCATGCCCAAGACCTGGGTTCAGCCCCCTGCACTGCATAAACTAGACATGGTGGTACACATCTGTAATCTCAGCACTTGGGAGGTGGAGGCAGGGGGATCATAAATTCAAGATCGTCTTTGGCTACATAATAAGTTCAATGCCAACCTAAGCTACATGAAATCCTGTCTCAAAAACATTTTTTTTTACTCTGTTGCTTATCATACACATTAGGATCTAATGGACATTTTGCTCCCGTGTTAGGTCAACTGCGTTCTGGCTTCCCCTCCAGGCCCGAAGCCTACAAGGAGCTCATTGAGCTGTATAAATCATCGAACCTCAGAGGAGGAGAGTTTTCGCCCTGTTTTACAGAGCTACAGCGCAACTTCATTGAACCCCGGCCCACCAAACTGAAGAGTCTGATTCGCCTGATCAAGCACTGGTACAAACAGGTCAGCCAGTCCCTGCTCTGGTCAATGTGGTTGTTGTTCTTACCAGCAAGCTAGGACACGGGCTTTGCCACGTGTCCTGAACACCCAAATCCTCCCGTGCTAGGTGCTGGGACTCTTTAGGGAAGCTGTGGCTCATTAAGCCACGGGTCTTCTGATATTTGGGTCAGGCCTAGAGAGCCTCCTAACTTCAGAGCTAAGGGCTTGTTCTCCTGCTGGCCAAAGAATTCAGTGGCAGGCAAGTTCTCCCGAGAAGCGTGCATGGAAGTTAAGGTGGTGTGCCACAGGTTGCCAGTCCAGCTGTGTGGATACCATATTGTCTCTTAGAAGGCAAGATGGAAGCTGTGGCTGAGACTGAAGTCATCACGGGGAGCAGATGCCTCGTGGCCTGGGGAGCTATGGTTTGGTTTTCAGGAAGTCATGTGACTCCCTCAACTGCACCCCCCGCACCCCCCTCCCCCCCCCCCCGCCCTTAGGCCGATCTTCCTCTGAGATGGCAATCCATGGTACTGGGCCCATAACTATCATACAGAGGGTCCCATCAGCCAGTGGTTACATTGTGGTCCAAACACAAGACGCTGTGTGTGACACTCTGCCTGCTGCTGAGTCTAGCAAGCTTACCCAGGACTCAGGAGCTCCCTCTACAGGTTCTACTTCATACCCCTGTCGCCCTGCTCTGCCACCCAAGCAGTCCATGAGACACACTGGGTCCCTCTGCCTCACCAAGGAAGGGTACCTGACATCTCCACTCTCCCCATCAGTGCCAAAGGAAAAAGAGGTCAAAAGCATCCCTGCCCCCAAAGTATGCCCTGGAGCTTCTCACCGTGTACGCCTGGGAGCAAGGCAGTGGCATGGACGAGTTCGACATTGCCGAAGGCTTCCGGACCGTCCTGGACCTGGTCATCAATTACCAGCAGCTCTGCATCTTCTGGACAGTCAACTACAACTTCGAAAACGAGCCGATGAGGTCATTCCTGCTGACCCAGATCCGGAAGACGAGGTGTCTGTGCCCCGGCCTCCCGCCCCGTTCTGAATTAACCCAATTCCCTTCTGTGCTATTTCTTCCGTGACCCGGATTCTTCTCCCCAGGGTCTTGTTCATTCCCAGTGTGAGGCTGAGGGAGAAGCTGCCGGATGAGGGACACACGCCAGGGAGAAAAACCTAACTTCGGGAGTGGGAGGGGCTGGCCAACCAGGAGGGATGCAGACGCAGGGGGCAGGCAGGGGCTGCCCACACAGCTTTCCTTCTCCTGTCGAGTGGAAATGTGTGTGCTAGCCCGCCTGAGAGGGGTCTGAGTGGGCAGGATATCCCTGAGAAACAGCATGGCCATTCCCAGGCCCGTGTGTGCACACCACAGCAAGTCAGAGGTCAACTTTCAGGGGACAGTTCTCTCCTCCCACTACATGGGCCCAAGAGGATCCAACTCAGGTCATCAGACTTGGCAGCAAGCTCCTTCTACCCTTTATCCAGCCCCTACTATTAACGTCTCGTCTCGTCAGATCTGGTTTTCTCTTTCAGAACTAGAAGAACTTGCCACAGTTCCAGCCCTTTTGAGGCTGAAAGCTGAGAGATATTTTATTTTACTCTAGTTTTAGGTTTTTTGAGACAGGGTCCCTCTACATAGCCTGTAGTACTTACTATGTAGACCAGGCTAGTCTCGAACTCACAGAGATCCACCTGCCTCTGCCTCCCAAATATCTGGATTAAAGGCGTGTGCCCACCACCGCCCAGCCAGGAGGATCTTAAAGCTATCTTAGAGGATAGCCTTGTCTACGTAACAAGACCTTGAATTAGAGGATAGCCTTATCTACGTTGCAAGATCTTGTCTAAAAAAAAAATTATTTAAATAAGGGGGGGCTCATTGGGATGAGGACACAGAAGCTTCCAGTCTGAGGAAACAGGACCAGCTAAAGGAATTGGCAAGGTGAGATAGCTGTGGCTTATTCTGTCTCTCTGATCTACCAGCATGGATCCCCCAAAAAAAAATAAGGGGGGGCTCCTCAGAGTGTACCCTCAATACCATGAGCAGGGAAAAAAGATGGTGAGCGGGGGAAGGGAAAGAAAATAAAAGAGCAAAAGGAAGAACGGGAGCATTAAAACCAGGTACTGTGGGCACGCACACCCCCAGCCCCCAGCCCCCAGCCCCCGCCCCCCCCATGCTGACCTACTTAGCAACGCTGTTCTGTGTGACGACACCTTGTAGTTGGGTGAGGAGGCTCTTGAAAGAGGTCACCACTACCGTTTACTGTGTGAGGTAAATAACAGCTTTCAGAAGGGTTTTGGTCTTCAGATACAATAATTCCAGGAAGTTACTTGGACTCTTAAGTAGATTCAAATGGCTCGCCCTAGGCTGCCAGGATACATTGTGTCATTGGTGGAAACAGGGAAAGGCCCCCAAGGCTGAGGCCGGAGGTCTTGAAAGCTAGCAGCCCTATCTCCGCTTCTAACTCTCCTTTAGGCCTGTGATTCTGGATCCAGCTGATCCCACGGGTGACGTGGGAGGAGGTGACCGCTGGTGTTGGCATCTTCTAGCCGAAGAAGCGAAGGAGTGGCTGTCCTCACTGTGTTTCGAACTGCCAAAGAGTGACTCGGAGCGAAGAATACAGCCGTGGAAAGTGCCAGTAAGACTGCCCTGAAGAAAGTGGGTGGCCCCGTCCCAAATCCAATCAAAGGTCTTGCTGCAGTACTTTGGAATTACTGAGCCGGTCTCCCCCCCCCCCAAAAGAACGGAGAACTGGACTCCAGGAGTCCACTCATCTCCCTTGCCCCAGGTACCTAGAGACCCAGACACAGGTGACAGAGTGGGAACTGGGCTCTCCAGGAGGGATCTTATGGCAGCGCCAAAGCTAGCCTATCTCGCCTTTTAACTAGGGAATGCTTTGCTCCCTATTGGTGCCTTGGTGTCAGCACCACACATGTCCCCAGTCAAAATACCTGTAGACACTGTCAACTGTCCCCTGGAAGTAGGGGCACCACTCTTTCTGACTCTTACCTTTCGGGACTATCCTCTTTAGTCGATTTTAGCACAAGTGGCCCCGAGTCCAGTGGGGTGCCTGCACATTGCAGCTTCCTCAAGCAGGAAGATGGGGGAAAGAACAGATACCTGAGAGTTGGGATCCTGAGGCAGGGTGGAGTGGGGGGACATAGGGAAATGGTTCAGCAGAGTTCAGTGCCCCCAGAACCCACATAAATACAGCATGGGTGTGGCAGCCCGCCTGTGATTCCAACCTTGGAAGGCTGAGTCAATGGAATCCCTAGAGCAAGCCGGCTAGCAAAGCTAACCATATCGGCTAGCAAAGCTAACCATATCGGCTAGCAAAGCTAACCATATCGGCTAGCTCTGGGTTTGACTGACAAAGTCTGCCTCAATAAATAAGGTAGAATCGTTGACAGAGGATGAGTCCTCACAGCATCCCGGGACCTTATACATGTGTACACACAGACACACATGCACAGAAATGACATATGCATGTACACACATGCAGGCACATGCAAATTCATATAACACACATCCACACATGCAAATATGCAGACACACATATGTGTGATACAGAAAAACTAAAATAGAAAAGAGGGCATGTAGTAAGATTAGATTAAGAGCTTCATTGACGCATTCACACACTTTTAAAGACCTACCATTGTCACAGAGTTACTACTTGATACCTGGAAAGTGGCAAGGGATAAAGTTGTGTCTTCTAAGGGTTAGAGCTCCCTCCTCCACCCCAGATACACCAGGCAGAGCCCTCCCGCTCGCCCTCCCACAGACAGCACGCTTCTTCCTTCTGTCCCTCCTTGGCACTGCTGACATCTGGGGACAAGCCGAGAGGGCTGTGCTGTGCATCGCGAGATGCTGAACAGTGTCCCCAGACTCTTCTAGAGGTGTCCCAGTTGGAACCTGAGACACTGTGTTGTGTTTTTCTGGCGAGAGAAAATTGGTCCCAGGTGAGACCTGTACCTCAGGGACACGTACCTGCCTTCACCTGCCAGCCGGCATGAGCAAGACGGATACTATCTGTCAGTTTGTTGTTGTGTTTTAGCAACTCTGGTCAGTTTCCAAATACGTTGCCAGATTCTTTTCTGGACACAGGTTCTCACTGTATAGCCCTGACTGACCTGGAACTCGATACGTAGACCAGGCTAGCCTCGAACTTACAGAGATCCGCCTGCCTCTGTTGGGATTAAAGGTGTTCGCCATCACACCCTTCTTTAAGCCCCCACCCCACCTCTCTTTCTCTCCTCAGGTAGTGCAGACCCCAGGAAGCTGCGGAGCTCAGATGTACCGCCCCCCCCCCCTCTGGGTTGAGTGTAGTCAAGTTGGAATCCAGTTCTGGGATGAAAATGCCAAATGAAGAAGCCTCCAGAGTTGTCTGGCAATTGATTTAAGGACTCAGTCCATGTTACAAAAGGGAGCTGAGTCCAGTCCTCCCTGCCTGGCCCTCATTTCTCTCTCTCTCTCTCTCTCTCTCTCTCTCTCTCTCTCTCTCTCTCCTTCACTCTCAGACAACTCTGCTTGAAATCAAGACTTCGGATCTGCTCCCCCTCCCACTCCTGGGGTTAGCATTCAGGCATTACACTGGACTGCCCTTGGGACCTGGTAGAATACGCCATCAACTACAACCTCTCCCTGCACGCATGCACTTTCTAGCAATTCAGGCATCACGCTGGCCTGCTCAGGGTCCTCAGCTCCAGCCACTCAGAGCACCGCCTGTGTGCATGTGTTAGCATTCAGGCAGGTAAACTGGCCAGTTCAGGGTCCTACAGCCGTAGTCCCTGTGTGCTACACACCCCCCA